TTAAGGAGGGGGCGGAGCTCGTTAATGAATCAAGTCTTAATCTAAAGGCTGATGGAGGGTCGCCTCCTTCACACTCTGAGTCTTTATTGAGGCTGCAGCTTAGAGCTGCTTGACCTCTGCTCACAGGAAGCTCGTTGAGTTGCTGTTGCCGGTGCACAATGACATTAAACGCACCGCGTTGTTCGCCTCTCACCGATTCTTTGTTATCCTGGAAATTTGACACATTATGACCACTCGAATTAAATCAGACGTTCAGCCGTGAGAGCTCAGGAAGTCCATTTAGGATTTAGAGAGGAAGGGTGAGGAGGAAGAGGTTCAGATCTGATTAGTGCTGCAAGTTTCGGCGCCCTGCGTGTTCACGGCGCAGTCTTAGATTTAAGAAAACACAACATACTCACATTTTATCACAACTGTATATCAGCTGCAGACATGAGGGGAGTCTGCAGGTTTTATGGTGATAAAGCAAAAATTAAGCTCCAAAAATTTAATTATTTGCTGTTTTTTCCACAGAAAACTAAAAGTGTTAAAGTTTTCTCCTGACGTGGAGCTCTCACAAACTGGGATGGACATTTTCTTTGATTTAAGAGACGTTTATTAGTTGCAGTGTTGGGAAATTCACATTGTTACAGCAGCAACACGGACACAGCAGCAATAAATAAATAGAAAGCTGCTGGTCTCTGTATATTCTTCCTATAGTCTTACATATGTTACAGACATTACCCCAGTCTGAGTGTTGGGTTGTCAGCTGAGTGCTCACTCTCAAGAATAAAAATGTTTAATGACTGAAAGCCCAAACAGGACATTTTAATAGCTGCTGTTAATCTCGCAGACCGCAGTAAAGAGGCAGTTCATGCCCTGTGGGCAGCCATGTGTCCGTTCTGTGCTGGTTAATATTAAACATACTGTACCAATTTCCTCTCTGCGGCCCCCTCGGCTTCTTCAGGGTCCTGAGCCATCCCAGAGAACCTGAAGGGCTTCAGAAGGCAGAGGCAGGTGGACCCGCCCGTCCACAGGGAAGCCTGAGGGGAGGAGGGGAGACAGGGCGGGTGCAGGTGGA